GGTGATACGTATATGACATGTGGCTTTTAGAGGGGGTGAATGACAGTTCCAACGTCCTGGCTCTTTCTGGATGTTTTGGGGTTCATTCCCAAACAAAACAACGCCTAAAGGATGGATGTCTTCCATGGTTTTCTATATGTCAGTCAATGACTTACGTATCGTCGTGCAAACTTTCCACCAACGGGGTCAGTGGGTGAATATTTACTCCTCTGGGTGGCCACCCTGAAAATTGATGACAATATGTCGGCGTTGCATGCCTGGGTCTAAAATGAATCTGACATATGGAAGAACCGTCACAAAAAAAAACGGATTGATTGATTCGGGCACTGAAATGGCTGAAGATGGTGAACGGCCAAAACACTGTGTACTATATATTAAATATATAAGACCTTCCCAGTGACCTCTTCAGGATTGGTAAGTGACCTTTTCAAGGCCTAAGTGACCTCATTCTGGAGTCTCGTAGTTACTCTGCGCTTCTATAGAGTACCCACAAAGGCTTCATAGGGCGTTTCAACATGTTTCAATGATTGAAAGTTGGAAGTTGTGTTTGTTTTTTTCTGAACCCTCCGTCTCGTCATCCCTTCATAAAGACTTCTGCATTCTTCAGGCCTTCCTTGTTGACCCACTTTCAAAACCAAGTTTCCACGGTGTTCATCTGCCTCTTTCTCAAACTCCTGGGCCTTCTTCGTGGCTTCAGCCTCCTCCTCTTCGGAGAGTGCTGGAACGGTGTCCGGCATGGCCATGATCGCTTCCTTCGCTGCCTGCTTCCTCACCAAATCAGAACTCCGCCCCCGTCAGTGATCAAAGTCCGTCCCTTTCATGGGCGGTGCTTGTGTTCTTGTTGTTTTGTTTTCTCTCTCTCTCTCTCTCTCCCGTCAGAGTCTATGTCAGATGGTGCAGGTGGTATTCGTCCCATAAACACCTTAAATCATCCCCAATCTAGTCCAGCGGAAGGCCAAGTTGGACCTCTTTCTTTTGATGGAAGGTGTCCTTTCGCGTGAGGGGAAGGCTCAAGTTCTCCAAGTGTCTCTTCAGGTGAACCCTGCAAAAGCTTCTGGACGAGGCCCGAAACCTTCAACATGGCCCCGTTCAGGTCTCGCTTCAGCTCAGGCCCATGACCTTTCATCTTCTTCACCAGCACCTGTTCCCAACTCCCTCAAACATCCCGGGTCATCCAACACAAAGCAAACACCGAAATACTCGGAATACTCATATTACATGATGGACCATGAAACGTGTGTGATATTTGTTTGATAAAAATATCCATGCCCTGCCCAGACCCGATTTTTCTGACCGCAGGCCGAGGTGTGCCAGACCTGTGGATGTGACGCAAACCTGAGGCTGCCTTGAGCGGTCAACACATAGCCAAACCAGGTGACCTCTGGAATAGCGTACTCAATTGTGATTATATATTTTAACACATTTCAAGCTTTGGGCAAGGCTAGCTGGAGAAGGCCTCTCTAAACTACGATCGGGGTTGGCAAATCCAAGCGTTGGAATTTGTCAATCGTGTGTTTGATCAAGTGTTTGGGATGTGTTTGAGGTTGGGGTGATTGTTTTTGAGGTCGATTTGATGCCAACTGCGGTCGCAGTAGATTGTTACTATTGGATGACAGGTTGGACCGGACCAACAGCAGCGCATCGGGTTGAACACATTGATGTCAGGTAAGGAGTCATATGTATGGCTTATAATACATAATTACATACAACGACCGCACCACAAATCCTCAGAATTGTTTAACATAAATTGAAACCTGAATAATCAAGTGCTATGTCCAAACCACAACTATTTCCAAACACGAACCCCCATGTCCTGCTTCACTAAATCGAGATTGGATCTTTCATCTTTCTTGATCTTTCGGCTTCGTTGGATCTCTTTGTTGTCTTTTGTAAGACTGTAAGACTCAGTTCTTTTGTGTTTTCTTCTAGCAAGCCCCTGGAAGCAGTCTTTCAAGGAGAATCCAGGGAAAAGGAACGATAGGTGTCTATTGACATCTTGATCAGTTGGCAGGCTCACAAAGGCTCCCAAGGGCTAGCACCTCCTCAGTAATACGCTAGTGTACACGCTCGTACTCATTTGGTCCATTGTTTCGTGGCTTTCTTGTACAGTAGCTGTGTGCCAACCTCATCTCTGCCAGAAAACAAACACCATTGTTACCAGTATTGCCGTTTATCCGAATTTAGGGGTGGCTCCAAACAGCACCCGGCAGGGTGGAGTAACAACAGCTGTTTGTCCATCCGCGACTCGCTGCCATCATCCCCAAACAACCAAAAGCAGCCCATCTTTGGTTTTCGCCACAGGCACTTGGTTATCGCCACTGGCTATTTGGTTTCTGGATTTCTCAACAAATGGCGTTCTTGTACAGTAGCATGTCATTTCTCTGTTGTCTCAGCGTCTTTCTTCCTTGAGGACCTTGTTGACCTTTCAAGTGCGCGGGGGGATAAATTCTGAACACCTAGAGGAATTCCAGAATGAACTTGCAGAAAACTTGTATAGACCCTTTAAATGACTGTTACCAGTTAATTGGAGCACACATGTACTGTATAGACATGTATTGACCTGGAGCTCCACCATCCATGGGCTGCCAACATCCGTCCGTGCTGTTGAGGCGGTGTGTTGCGATCTGACGGGGTGGATGACGTTTGGATCGTTTGGATCGTTTGGCGTTAGAGTTGTTGGGGATGTTTCTCCCAAAACAACATCAAACAACCATAGACAAGGCCACATGAAGTTTTGGACAGCATCTACTCCTACCATCTCCTACCATTTACCGGGCCTCTTTCTTTCAAACAGGGAATCGTCGAACTAAAGGCAGATGCGCGGAGCCTGGATGACCTCGTAGGCATCCGAAGGCACCAGGCTCTTCAGGGTCTTATCCTCAGTTTTGTGTTTTTCTTCCGTCGAGTGGCGGTCGCGGGGACGTCCCCCAACCCGCCAGGTGAACACCATTGGAACGGTTGGAGTCTGGAGCCGAGGTTCAAATCCAGCATGCACCGTGGCCTTTTCTTCTTCGTTGAGCTGGGACATAAACTTCTGGTCCTTGGTTCGATCAAAAATCCGTTTATTCATGATACATGGATGAGGCTCAAACAAATGACCACAAAAGGGTATGCCGCCCCTTACTTTTAAGTACACAAACAAAGTAAAAGCTGTGCTGCTCCCCAGTGGATCCCAGGAGAACACCACTTTTTCGCCAACATGGGAGAACTGAGAAGTGCTTCGGCGCCAAAAAACGGTCACCCTTTGATCCTGGGAACGGGATCCACAGGGGTTCATGTGGTGAGACACCGTGGGAGCCCTTGCAATGAATTCAAAGGCCTCCATGATTTGAGCTTCGCGACGCTTGCACTTCCGGTTGAAAATGCTGGCCCCCGCGCAATTCTCGGAGTACCTGAGACGTTCTCAGTTTCGGGCACCTGGTCCAGAAAGCGTAGCCCCAAATGGTGCCATGGTGCAACTGATCAATGAGTGACCAATATCAGGGCCATTCATCCAAAAAAACATGCCTTTCCCATCAAAACAGGAGTCATCTCTTTAACAGGTGAAAAAATAGGCGCTTGCATGGCACCCCCATGGCACCTCCGTGGACACCGTCGAAAGAAAAGTGACTCATCTTCTTCCAGAGGACTTTTGGCTCTTTTCTTGCAGGAGCTCCAGCATGGTCTTGTAGTTCTGCAAGCCATTGTGCTTCAGCAGGAAAGAATCTGTGTGCCGACAACTCCCAAAGGGACGGTCTAAGGGCAAGCGCCTCTTCACGCAGCCCTCACCCTTGCAACCTCCTCAGTCTGCTCGATCCGGAGAACAACTCCGGTCGGTCCAAACTCCCAGCGAACGGGGGCCCGGGGGATGATGTTGTTCTCCCCAAAGTACGTCCCATCGACAGATCTGTTCTTTTTTACTGGTTTACAGTGAGAAGATGAAAGACATTCTGATGATTTCTGATGTATTCCTTCCTTTCCAGCCCACTACAAACCAGGGCCGAGGAACTGGTCTCGAATCAGCGCTTGGACCCCCCTTGGCCCTTGGGACATCGTGCACTGATCCCTTCGGCCTTCGACTTCCTTTTCCGGGATGGTGGGGATGGTGGGGATCTTTCCGCTATGCGGAAACTGGGAAGGGTCTTGCTAGGTCTCAAAACCCGAAACTCCAGGTGTTGGCCTTCATTGAGACTCGAGTGGCAGCAAGAACAGCCTCAGAATCTGATTAATTTCAACCTTCAGTCCAATCTTAGGAGAATCAAACCGGATGAACCCCTCCTGAAAAGTTGGGATCCCTACTCTCCACACAAAAAAAAACTCCATCCCATCCCACCAACTCTCAGATGAACCAACACCAAGGCTCCCTTGATGGACCACGAGCAGTCTGCATGTAGCTGGTCCCACTTGGACTTGGACCATTCAATCTCGTCATCCACGCGGATGCACTCATGACCTGGCACAGAAATACCCTGGCACAAATGAAAGGTCACCAATGGAAGCCCTCGCACTAACTTAGACTTATGGATCTCCATGAGCCACCCCTTGGAAAGTGCAGCTAACAAGAACAACTTCCGTGACTACATGGCTGTGGGGAGACTGGCACCACGAGACCCACCGGTCACGACCGTCCCATGCGTCCGGTCGTTCGCGGCGGACACATGGTGGACTGAGAGGGCTCCAGGTGGGTCATGACAGATCTGTCTGTCTCACTCAGTCTGTGTCTGCCTATCAACGAGCTTCTCCAATAATAACACAGGCGGAAGTCAGAGTGACCAGCAATGTATTTATTGGGGTTGGACTCAGATCTATTCCGATAGGTTGAGGGTGCTTTCTGTCGCCCAGCGCCTGCCAAAAGCACCAGAAAGAGAATGGCTTTCATCTGCACATGACCGAACTGCGGTGTGCCGCGCATGCCGCGCGCCAAAGACTGGATGTCAAGACTTCACCTGACACAAACTAAGGACTTCGCCGACCTTCGCGATTGAGCCTAATACTATCTGTCGGAGAGAGGCACGGCGACACAGTGTTCGCGAACGAACCGCCAACACCGTCGGTGCAAAGCAGTCGGACCGTGTCGAATCGACATGCCGTTCGCACAAATCGAGCAAGGGCCTGGGGAACGGAACTCCCTGTATAGCTCCTGGGTTCCCTGTTCCAAGGCGAAAATGGAATGATATGGATCCCCCGGCTCCGAATCGCTCCCTCCTGATCAATGGCTAGAAATCGTTTGGGGCTCCACATACCTCCGAAGGTCCCTGACGACCCCCCCTGCCAAAGCGAGGTGTCGCCATGAAGCCCTGAGACCCCGTGAATTCTTCCATCGTTGCAACAAAGAGATTGGCACGAGCTCACAAGCTCCTAAGGAGCCAGGATTGGACTTTATATATCTGCCACCCTTCTCGTCAGGAGCCAAGTATATGGACAAGTGAAAAGTTTTTGGACTTCTAATATCTTCTAATGACCTTTTGGAGAACTCCTGCCATCCTCAACTGAACTCGCACCCTCGCACCCTCAACATACTGACTGTTTTGTGTGGATCTTTGAACCTGGACCGCTAGGTTCTCCACAAACCTGCCAGGACAGAACTACCCTCCCTGAAACTGGTTACGCCCCCTGGCCTGGATGACCATGAAATCCAAACATATCCTCACCATATCCTTGCATCTACCGGTGATCCGAAAACTTCGAGTTGTGGTTCTTCCCCGCTTCGCATCTACCGCATTCGACCACTCCGATCGAACGTTCCGGACTCACTGGGTGCAGCAAACCACAATGGGCCGTACTTGGGGCAAATCCTCGGGATGCGGAGATGGCCCACCCGGTGCGCCGGATGGCGCCCCTTATTGGATCGCCCAAAAAAACAGCAATAAAAACGAAGTTCCTCTACAAACAAGGGGTGTCTTTTGCCCAGATTTCAAGTTTGGGGAGTATTTATCAGCAGTCTTTAAACAGAAAAACAACTCCTGGCCTGGTAGACTGGTCTATTTCACTTCTTCCAGGGGTCCGTTGCCTGGGAGGTCTCCCAATTTGAGCCACACATCCAATAAAGAGAGCTTGGGATGTTGCACTGGTTGAGGTTCAACCGGCTCCTTTCGACTCCTGCTCGTTAAAACATACAACACATCCAGGTCCAGGTGTGTTCTTGGTTCGCACCAGGAGGCCTAGCAGCTGACAAAAACCTAGGGTCCCGTTGCCGTGCCTAGTAGGTAGTTCATGCATTCTATATATACGTTGATCTACAAAAGACATTTGTCAGTGCTCCTTTCTGATACCCTTCATGATCCAAGCGCTAAGCTTATAAACTAAGCTCGCAGCCAAGCAAAATAAATACATTGACATGGATAACTTCTGGGGCCACATCAGGAAAACATGAGAAACAATAATGGAAACCTTCTCCGTGGCAGCTGCATGAGCGTAACGAATTCCTTTTCAATGCCCTTATGACTGTGGACCCGCTGCACCAAAGACCAGTGTAGGTGCCCCGTTCAACTGGGCAAAGTCAGCAAGCAACGCAAAGGGCCTAACAAAGTCTAGTAACTCGATCCTTATTGATTCCTTCCTCGAGCAAAACACGAGTCATGCGAGTCTTTCACATTCCGTCATCCGTTTCCAGCTTCGAGAGTTCATCATCGGAACGTATGAATTCATCTTAATGAAGCAACCCCGTATAGTTATTTATTGCTAACATCGCATCTACAGCGGTGGTTGTATTGACACCCCGGCGATGTATTGTCGTATTGTACATCGAATAACACCACTCAGAGTGGGCGGTGCTGGTGTCTTAAAAGTCTTATCTGTGAAAAACAACTCCTCCCAAGTGTTTTTTTCTCCCAGGATCTGCACGCCCTGCTCCGCCGTCTCCAAAGCCTCGGGGGGGAGCACAGGCGCTCCGCAGGTACTTGTCATGTCACTGAAATTTGGGCAGTGTTTATGAGCCTGTTGTGTCCATTGTTTTGTAGGCATGTAGGGAAGTTGGTCGCCATTGAAAACATCGAGCTAATCCTACAAGTCTAAAGCATTTCCAGGTTTTGTATGGTATTGGATGACGTGAAAGCTGCAAGTGGTGCCTTGCCGCAGGGTTGAGGGGTCGAGGTTGGTGTATAAGTGTAAGCTTAGGTCAAGTCTACCTATTTTATAGATGAAACATGATCATGCCTTGGAACTCTGCTAGAGGGACTATACACCTGATCACGGGCCCCATTGGTGCCGCGGCTTTCACCGCTCCCTGGCCATCTCCCGGATGCATTCAGGCCAGGTCCGCGGCGGCTTGCCAGTTCCCGAGGATACTCTCCACGCGACACGCCTCGCGATGCATCGCGTCAGTGCATCGCGGTAGTGGGCAGCGTCCATTCCGTAGAGATAGGGGCCGACTCAAATCAAATGCTGGAAGATTACTCTACATGGACCCCGGAAACCCTAGCCTAACATGTGGATCCCCAGTGACTATAAAAGGAGCCAGGGCGTAACTAGGGTTCCAAAGGTCCAGTATGGAACTGTTGGCTACTTATTAATTATGTTTATGGGTTACTGTTGGCTTCATACTATATATATATAAGTGGTTATTGCACGTGGTTACTGAATCCTGTAAGTTACATGCAGAGTATTTCAAGAACAACAGCTGTGCCTCAAGAACCCCATAGTAGTACAGTAATGGGGATTGTCACCGTGGCTGAATGATTATCTGATTTGTGATGGTCCATGTCTATTTCCTCACATCCTGAGTTCTGTCAACAGGCCAACGTAATGCTGTGTACAATTCTTAGACTCCCCAGTCGTCTCGTTCGCAGCACGTTTTACCCCTTTCCCTCTAGTTCATGCCACCGGCTCGTTATGGACGTCAGAACGTCTCATGGACAAACAAGATGTCTCACCGACGTCTCAGGGGACTTTCCGTCTTTGCTGCAAGTCAGGAGCTTACCCCTTCGCAACAAATCTGCCGACACACTCCAGTCTGTGCTTTTCGTAAGCCAAACACTCCATGTATGTCATGTTTGCCGACCATTCGGTGACTTCGGGTGTGTATATATATATATATATTCCAGTCCCATGGAGTGTCTTTCATAAGGTATGATGTATTATAAGTCTGTTCATCAAACACAGCATCAAGTCTCCGGTCACAACGACTCACGCAAAGCTTCAGTGTCCGTCTTGGTGAGATGACATCCAGCGATTGGTCAGTGCACATGCCACAAAGATTTCCTCCAAATAACGGAAATTCAATAGTGGAGCCCCATCTTCACACGTTGGAATTCGTGGTCCGCTTCATCAGCCACAGTGGATCAGTGATTTGTCAAACAAGTATGCAAGATAGTGGTTGATCAATATTGTTTTAAGTCAAGGTCGTTTTAGATAAAAACCCTTTACACCCCCCTTTAGATCAACTCCAATATCTTCTCACGCCAACCCATGGGTTTGGAAAACGTGCTGCTTGTCGTCAACTCCACATTCTCAACCGAGACAGGAAAGGCAAGGCAGATCGGCAGTCGTTGACATTCCACACACCCCATGTATGGAATACATACCTTCATTGGGGTGGTTGAAAAGGGATGCATGTAGATGTAGGCATACAATTCCATGCATGGAGTGTTTGTGCAAATTCGCTCAGTTTTGGACCAACACGAAGACCGCGATCCGTGCCGGATCTTGGACTCCGCAGTCCGTCCGGCTACAACCAGCGGCTTGTAGTGCTACACTACTGCATGACGAACAGCACGGGTGCAAGAAGTGCCATGAAGTTCACTCATCCCCGGGACTCATCCCCCTCCATGCTCCAATACGTAGATCTGGACAGATCTACAGCCAAAGCGTCCCACCCCCTTCTTGTTCTCCAATACGTAGTTCTGGAATGGTTCAACCAAATTGGTTCCCTTGTGCACTGACGTGCCCTTTGACGAGAAGGACACATCCTACCAGTCAAGGTTAAATGGGGTCCATCGGAAGTACCTTGGGTGGTGTGGTTGCATCTTGCAAAACCCGATTTGCCATCTTCATTCTTGACATCTTTGCTAAGCATAGATGATTGAACTCATCCTACCTTTGCTACAACATTGGGAATTAAGATTTGACTGCTGCATATCCAAACGTTGCATTTGTGTTCTTTCTTGCCTGTCAACGAGCTTGTCGGTTGATGTTTCATTCCTGATTGGAATAGTGAAACCTGTTCAACACAATTGATTTGGAATGATTTTGACATGCTACCATATGCTACGGGTAGCATCATCCCTCCGATCAAACTTAATGCAAGTATACATGTAAAACAACATAACACAACCTTTCCCACAAGCCCCAAACAAACGTTACACCTCTGATTTTGCGCCCCAAACTCTTGACTTATATGTCCCGCAACCTCCACCGTGAATGACAAACACCGAGGGCCGGAGGACGGTGTGATGTTTGCTGTCACACGTCCAAGGCTCAACCGGTCCGGTGGACGGCGTCCGGACCGACCAAGGCAAACAGGGCTTTCAAGAGAACCAATCCCACGAATGACGCCACATGTTCGCTTCTTCCCCTCCGAAAGGCGAAAGTTTGAATCATTTAGACTGCATGTGGATCATGGTGGATCGATCGATGCGCAGGATCAGCTTCGGACCCCAAACCGTCCCTTGGAACATCTCCAAACGCTGCGAAGCCTCGCTGTAGATGGGCCCCTGCTGTGGCAAGCGCTTCAGAATGCATTGCCTCGGCTGGTCGGGTTGGATGAAAAGCTGGTCGGGTTGGATCATCTCTTCAAGCCAAAACAACCCAGGGATCCACACCTGAGAGGCGATCTTTAGACTGACAAAGAAATCCCATGTGGATGGTCAAGTCCCCATGAAACAACCTCTTCTAAAACAGAACGTCCACACCTCCGTGTGAGACAGAGCGAAAACGCATGAAAGACTGTCTAGCTGGCAATCACCCACCCCACTGTCTAGCTCACAAAGCAAAACAATGTACAGTCAAAGACAAGAGGAAAAAGCACGGGAAAGTCCTATGATCCTGCGAGTCTGACCGGTGGTCACGGTGGCACAGATCATCGTTGGAAAACCAGAAACGAGCGCCCCCCCGGACCTAAGGGAGCGCCCGATGGCATTGTTTTCACCCATGAGGCCCATGTAGGTAACATGAATTCCAGGACTGCAGCGTGAAACTCCAACATGAATTCGTTTCTTGCGAACGAGAGCGAAGCAGCCTTGAAGCCATTAAATTAAGGTTTTTAATGTGTAGTGTTTGTCAGCGAACCCTGCACATGTGAAACCTTGAATCACAAAGATAACTGCAAGCTCAGCGTAGTTTATATATGGGTTGTAAAACTTCTTCACATAAAACGTCATAGAATTAATTTGGATGGTGAACCCAATAGAGGAGCATCACAGTTGGAAGGTGAGGGCAACCCTGGATTCTCCTTTGCTCTAAACTTGTCTGTAAATTTTGCATCTTCCCTATACACACCTCAGTTTTTTATTTTTTTTAAAGAAGTTTACTGGACACAGAAAAACTGGCAGGATCCACGGATCAAACACCTGCAACGGTGCTGGTCCAACGCTTCGTGCTCACGAGGGGCAAAACATGACAAATGGCACCAAAGTCTCATCCCCATGGAGCAAAACATTGTAGGGAATCCCATCAAATCTACTTCAATTCTATTCACCCAACCTCAGGGGGTAGCTGCGGGCCGATCGAACTCCCCGTCAAATCTAGTTCGACCTCTTGACCTTCACCAGTGCTAGTTGGAGTCAAGCTCAAGCAATCCCAAGCCCCAGTTCACCCCCCAAAATTGGTAGCTCAAATAGGAAGACCTCCCAGGCAACGGACCCCCTGGAAGAAGGAACGTGGAAGACACATCACCTGTAGGTTCAACGCAAGATTCTACAAGGAGGCTTTCAGGGAAACCAGAACATATGGGTATGGGTCGTGTCCCACCTAGAGCTCGACCAGTCCACCATGGGTCCGCGAAGGATGGGTCACCAGGTATCCTGGTCCACCAATCTGGTCCAGCACTTCACGGCCAGGGCCTCCCTGCATGATTTCCCTGGCCCCATCGCCGTTGCCCACGCGCACCTTCATCGACCAGAAGTTCGGCTACCAAAGAACAGCGAAACCAACCACCTAACCAACAATACCCATTACTTTTAGATGAACATCAGGATCCATGAAGTTAAACATTGTTTGATTGAGTTGCATACAATCACTGCAAATGCAATCTTTTCTATAAATATGTTGTTTTTCTTCCCAAACCCATGGCAAATGTACCACAGTGTACTGGGATTTTGAAGCTAGTTTTGCCCCATAGCCATAGCGAGGCTCTTGTCGAAACGTCTTTGTGAAAAGGAATTATTGGGAGATGATGCTAGATAGCTCCCTTGATTTGTTTGCTAAAACAATCAGTAGGGGAGGCCTGCTGTTTTGCTTAAGGCTCTTTGATGTTCTTTGTGTGGTTCTTTCGCAGCGATGAGCGCGCGAAAGGTCTTGCGAACCCATGCTTTTGCCTTTCGACAGGACGCGTTGCTCCGTTTCGATGTACCAGGACGCGTTGCTTCGTTTGGTTGAACATTCCCAGGCGTGAATGTTGTACTTCCAACATGGCCGAAGGGATCGTCATGGCAGCAGTATATCATGGCCATTTGGTGGTGCTGGGGGAACATTTCAGCCAAGAAGTGTCTTATAAGGTCCTCTGATTGGCTTCCAATCTGTCTGATTGGCATATCTGTGCTTCACAATTGATCTCATGAGCTAGGTTTCGTTGACCCGTTGACATGGCTGATGACTACGAACGGGTCTGCTTGTGCCGTCTTGCTGTTTCATGCTCGCTTATTGACCTCGTCTTAGGAGGGAGGTAAGAAGAGCGCAACAACATAACTCCGAAGCAAAGTTCAGGGCGACCAAAGGGTCGATCAAGCATGTTGATGTCCGAATTGCGCAACACAGTTCAACTGCACGATAACAAGCTCGTTGGCCTGTTGATTTGCACATCTCCAAATATTGTTGTTGGAATGTCGAAGGCTTTGACTTAGACTCAGAAACAAGTCGTCTTGCTCTTGCTCCTGAATCACCTGTTTCGACTGTCCTGTGTTCCTTGTGTTTGTCATTCAACTCCTAGGTCTGGTCAAGTCCTACAGGTAGCTCTGCTTCCGCTCACATCTTGGATCAATGGATCAAAATCACCTGTCTTTGAGACACCCACCATCTACAGCTCTAGAAACCTCTCCAGCGTCTTAGCACCTCTCAAGCCCGTTGGGTGGCCATTTTGACTGATCCCCAAGCCGTATACGTACTGATGACATGTTGCGTTACTTTTTCCACACCATATATAAGTAAAACATATAATATGCATCAATGCCAGGACACGCAAGGAGTGCACTTGCAGGTTGGTGGAAAGGTGACGTTCCACTTACTCGTTGAACCAATTCAACATAGTGCTCACAAAAAGGGAGGAAGGTTGCGTGCCCATGGGAAAAGTTCGAATCATTAAAGGATGTCTGCTGACACACGATTGGCACACGGCCGAGCTCGACGGCGTCCAGATTTCCCCAAATTCGGATGACCATGAAATCCGAATACCAAACAGGTGGTGCTATCCACTTCTATGATTGTATAGCTGTGGGTCAAAACCCAGACCCCGAATTTCCTGGTAAGTGGGAAAAAAACAGGGAGCAGTCTATGATACTAGTATAATATGATATGCAAGTATATGTTTCGGTGAGGGGCATTGTTTATCTCGTCTGCCCTGGACCACTCGCCTCAGCGTGGACGGCTTCAATGAGGACCTTGCGGAAGGAAGTGCGAAGCAGTACGAAGCGAGAACGAAGGGAGTACCGGGTACCTGGTCGTCATAAGTTCTTAACACTGTGCTTCATCCAAAACTATATCATGAAGGTCAGTGTGCTGTTCTTTTGTGTTATTTTTTCTCTAGCGAATGCACAAATGGAAAGACTAAGACCAAATGATCAGGTTTACAAGTCAGGGTGCAAACAAAAATAACTTGTCAATGGATCCAGCGTGAATATCCAGAGAGGAAATTATCTGCAAACCAGTTGAAGAGGATTTGACTGTGAATAGAACAACTGAGCCAACTGCCAACTGGTCTGTAAACTTCGAGGCATCCAATCACTGGCAGGGGTTATGAGGTGATCCTCAGGGTTGGGGTTTTGCTTGGGCTGCCCAGCGAGTATAGTGAAACAAGCGGGAACTCCGACCCTTCGACTGCCCAGTGGTCGGGACTCGCGGTTGGGACTCGAACCGGATGAGTTCCAAACGTGCAAACATGCGCTCATGATCAAACATCATTCCCGTCCCAACCCCCCTAAATAATCCTAAATATAAATAGCATGCAATAGCTCAAACATGAGCACATCAGCCACACCAAACACCACCACAATACTTTAAAGCTCCCGTGATACGAGTCACCTACGAGTAACCCCCGTGCCCAATCGACCACGAGCCGTTTCGTTCCGGCACCGTTTCCTCGCCGTTGCCCGATGTCCTCGCCTTGTGCGCACGCTCCAACGGCTCCGCCCGGAGGGAGCCCACCAACGACCGCAGGGCCTAGGGGTCGGGCGTTCGCATCGGCGGTTTGGGCGGTTTTGGCGGTTTGGGTCGGGGAAACAACCATTTGTGGAAGGCCCGAGGTGGTCCAAAGCAGGAACTGACGGGTATTGAGATGGTAGTGGAACTTGGAACTTTATGGGTGAAATCATATGGGCGAAGACGGGTTAAATACTGCTTGGACAAACAAGACCCGATCTTTCAAGAACAACGCTTCCTTGTAATTTCACAGGTTTCGACGTTTCGACCCTACAACTTGGTCAGGTCAGTTTGATTGCGTTATACGGTACCCGGTAGCTGATCTTCAAGGACCCCAGTTCCAACCTTTGTGTGTTAAATATTTTTGTTCACAAGAAACATGACAAGATCAGGATGAGGGAGTCGGTGTGAATTCCTCGTTTTCGCCGTCCCCGGTTCCCGCCCGTGTGCCTTGATCTCGCCCAGGCGTTCCAGGACCCGGACCTCTGCACGTTCGGCCGGGTAGGCCGGGGAAAAGGCCAGTGGCCATCGAAGCGGTGATTTCCCAAAGGAATTGCGGGGTGAAAAGCAACATCTCCGACCTCCAGGCACACTGGCTGGGCATCCTTCAAAGATTGGGGTCATTGGCTACAAGATGCTCATGGCCTTGGGCTACTTGTTACAACTTTTAAAGTGGATCGTGGAACCGGCAGGACACTGGTTGCTCCGCCGGACATGAACAAAGTGGACCACCAGAAACTTCAACTTCTGGGGCCAAGCTTTGCCAAGGTAGACTCTTGCCCACGCCCCACGGAAGCAATCCCTTTGTCCATACGGCCTATACCAACCATGCCCTGGGCCTGCGATTCGCTTCAAATGATGTGCAGCATGATGCGAAAATCGATATGTTTTCTTTGGATCCAGGACCTATGGACGGTGAGTGAACTCAGTTTCGGCCGAATCAAACCATGGTTCGATGGGAGAACTGGTGGATGAAGGGACAAGCCAAAAGGCCCACATCATCCAGCAGTTCCATAAGGCCAAACTGAGTCCATAGGCGCCCAGGCTTCCATTGGCTGGAGCAATATCACTTCTCTTCTTGTTCGACCCCTGTCCTATGCTCAGCATCCCTACCCATCACTCGCAAGACGTCTGTGCCGACCAGGCACCAAGCGGAGTGCCAGAAGGTCACTGGAAGTGCAGCATTCCATGGCACGTTCCAAGAGATATCGACCTCGGGGGGAAGGGGCCCAGCTGGTGAACTGGGATCAGTTTCACCATGTGTGCAACCACGTGAACTATGGCTAAAACAGAAAATCATCAACAACTCCCAATCGGTGGTAATCCCCACTGGTCACCATGTGTGGGGGGATAAAAACGCCACGCCGCCACGGCGGTGCCGGGAACCATGGAAAAGGGTCACGCCGGCACCACATTGGTACACTTGAAGGTCTGCCCCTCTATAAAACTACAATATGTGTTTTCTGGTGTTTCCACTATATTCAGGCCCAGAACTCCGGGTCACTCCTCCAGATATCAAACAAAATGGTGCACCCACACACATGTTTAATGATTTAATATATAAACGCTTGCAACATGTATAACAGGTTGCACGCATCTTAACCGATACCAAACAGCAACAAATCTTAGCTCGTGACATCCCGTAATAGAATCTACAGACGTATATATAGCGTTGTAAAATGGTGTAAAACAAATGCATCCGAAGTGAACACGAGCACGGCTACTTGCTTTCCTTCATTCGCTCGCCACAGCTTCATCCGTGTTGATCGAAACCGAGTGGCATTGCTGCAAATCACCTAACTCCTCCAAGGTTCGGCAAACGTCCAGCCAAACCTCCGCAGTGGAAAACGCCCGGAAAACGTGTTTGTTTTGTTTGTCAAAAATGCCAAGTTTTGCCGTCGTGGCAGCTGCCTAGGTAGGCACAAGATGCGGTGTGGTAAAGAGTCACTGTTCACCAACAGAACATGGTGTATTAGCCCTAAGCATCGAAAGTTTGACCATGCAAGTCAGGCAAGAAGTCTGGTTGCGAGAACACAGTCCGGCATTAAACCAACCTACAAGACGACACTACGGTACAAGTAGGTGGGAGCAGCATCAAACAGTATGAGACCATGAGTCCTCAGAAGGCGGTCGCACCACCCAATACCACCAAGACACCCTGTTCAGTTGTATGACTTGGAGGGGACCACAGGGTTATAAGACATGGACACGGTTCATGTTAGAATAGCCCAAAAGCAAAGTCAATTTGTCCCAGGGTCATTTTTGTCTCAGTCTCCCTAGGCCCTATTCCACTGCACACCCACAAAAAGGTTTTTGAAGACTCCACAAGTTGCATGAAAATCGAAGAACTGCTGCCAGGAAGTTGTTTGAGTGCGTGTTATGAGGTCCTGCGGCCAGTTTTTGTTTTTTTACCTTCACTCCATGAACTATCCCAATTAAAACACAACGACCTGAGAATTGATAGTCAAACATATTGAACAGACACAATATACTATTGACATCTATTAACATTACATATTCCGTACACCATGAAAATCTTTCGATCGTGCCTGTCTGTTTGGGGAGCACTTTTTGCGGGATCCTGTTTGGTCAGGTCACTCCATCAATCAATCCATCCCTCTTGCAAATACGAAAAACACATCCCCGCCGGAAGCTTCAAACGCCTGCGCGACATGCGGCTGAGCTTTGATGGCTTGCAACATATGGTACTTCACCTGGCAGAATGTCTTTCTGTGCAACCTCTAGTCGCTATAAGTTTCGCTGAGGTCCCCCTCCCAAAGAAACTTTGAGAGGCTACTTATGGTGGTTCTGGAGACCCGGGGGGGCCCAGTTTCACTACCAGCGAGGTGGACTTACTGCGTGAATTGAGGAGAGTTGAGGAGAGTGGAGTGTTTCTACCGTGTGAAAGTTTTGAATTGCTGCTGCATATCTAGTGAATCTAGTGGGAAATCAGGGGAAATCTATTCCCTACAAAATATATGATGATATCCCCGTAGGGCCGTAAGGTACACATTTCACTTGGATCCACACGGCCCTTGGAAGTCGACTTGGAATCATTTGTGTCAGCGATGCCATGGACTATATAGCTGCAGCATGCTGCAGGGTTTTGTGGTTAGAAGTCCGAGATTTGGCCCAATGATGCCAATGAGCTTTTCATTCTGTACCTTCTCCTCGCAGTGTGCACCTGGCTTTCGCCACCCAAATGGGTCCTGCTTTTTCGCCATATCCAATGAGGTCGTCTCCCCCCAGCTTCGCTCGCCTGGTCCAGGCTCGAGGCGCGCTTCGCGCGCTCGGCCAGCTCCAAATGAGCACGGGCCAAGGCACCTGCACCGAGCGCTGGAACGGCTTCAATGGAGCGCTGGCTGGTGCGGTGGATGCCAGGGATTTGGTGCGAACAGGTGGATCCTCCCATGTGGTTTGGTGTTTGTTTTCCGACCGAAAAAGACTCAAACAGCTCAAACCGACCTGGATAAAATCCAACTGTTCAAGCCTAGCCATGTTCAGGAAGAAAAACACACAAGCCTTCTAAATCCACACTTCTTGGGAACGGGCGTTCAAGACCCGCGAGGACCGCTGGTCCCACTTCGGCCACACTCGACGAGCACCGCGCAGGGCAAACGCTGTTCCAAGTCCCATCCACGGTCAGAAGTCTTACAACTACTAGTAACTCTACTAGTAGTATATGTCTTCCAACCTTACATCCCCAAACCAGTTCTGGGACTGGCATAGTTTTATTTTACCCCAATTCAGATCATAATTTCAAGTAATGGATGGTCTTATATCGTTTAAATCCACTTTTTCGGGGGGCATCTTCAAAGCACTCCTGGGTTCAAACAGTCTTTTTCCCGCTTCTCTCATACTCTTGTGCAAAACGCGTGGAAATGCTCCACATCTTGCGGAGGTGCTTGCTGCTCAAAGAAGAACCGTTTCGCAAACGCCAACGCAATGTTGGCGCGTTGGCAACACTAGGCCAAACTGCTGCAAAACAGGAAACGGCCAGGTTCATGTTCAAAGCGTATTGATTTCAATTTATAGATACTGTAAAGGATTAAGAATGTGACTACAGTGTACAACAGTCATTGAAAACAAGGTATTCCTTGACTTGGCACTAAAAAAGTCCCCAAACTATAGCACCTATAGACCTACAATTCTGTGGATCTGTCTTATGGCCAGAAGGAAGCACGTGGGTGCAAGCCTCAAACAAATAAGATAGCAGTCTATGGCATCCCAAAATCACATCAGGCGGCCCACTATCAGGCCCATATCTTCTATTCTAAGTGGTCTGCCGTCCGCCATCTTCCGTTATCTTCCATGTTTATCTTAAATGGTATGATGTCAAACCTCCTCAGAACCTATTGACCATTAGTGACCCTTTTAGCAAGCAAACAGGCTCTTATCCGGTGAAATGATATTCCAAGTACATCAATCTAAATATTTAACCAAAGACATCCAACAACCCAACCAAAACTACAACTGTCTGACCATTTGGGCTGCTTTTGGGCTGCTCCGCTCCTGATTTTACTATCTCTTCCCGGCCACCGCAGGCGGTCCACATGAACGACTTGCTGCTGGTAGTAAGGCTTAGTAAGGTGCCTTACTACTATTAGTAAGACACCTTGCTACGTTCGTAGCGTCCTCGCTACTAGTAGCGATGCACTTTGTTACTAGTAGCATCCTTGCCTTCCCGTCCACCGTGGCCACTCCCGGCCACTCGCGGCCTCCTCCCACCGTGGCCGCTCGACGCTCCAGCAGCGCTTCAGCGGCCTCGAAGCCCTCCTGAAGAGCGAGGTCGACCAGGCTGTGGGGCAAACCGATCCCTGAAGTTTTGGTGGGTTGACCTCCAGTGGTCCATTCTGCTCATTTTCGGTGGTCAACCAGGGTGTCCCGGGTAAGTTTGATCCACAGCCATATGGGGCCCTGTCACGATCAATGGCCACCTTCTCGGACGAGATGTACAAACCCTCCCAGCTATATTTGCTTGGTACACCTCACCCTCAAAAGAAGGTACGTATGTGGATCCATAGCCAGGAACCGGAGCCCAAGGAACCTAGCAAAAACGACTAGATCCCCTCCACATCCGTGGACACTGGTCGCCGGTCGCAAGCGCGAGCAAACGAAAGGTCGTGGGCACCTTTGGACGCCAACAGTTTGTGGTTTCAACTGGCTGCGTTTGGAGCTGAAAAACGTATCTGCAATCCAGGTCCGGTCCATCTCGCGCTCCGCTAGCTTCTGCCCAAACGGACATGCATATTATGAGCAGCATCAGCCTCTATGTCTGTGAGGAAGTGGGACTATTCCTAAAGCCTCCAGGGCTATTTCTAGAAAAGGTGAAACTGTTTCTAAGTCACAAGAGTCTATTTCTAAAGGAATGCTGACTGTTTTGTTGGGTTGAGGACCAAGGCCCAACATATTCTACAGAAAAGTAATGCTGTTTGACAAAGGAGGGCATCAAGATGCCCTTCTGCAAGAATCATTCTGCTTTGCTGGCGTTGGTGTAGTTCTGGAAACGGACAAGTTATAACAGAAAGGGTAAGGGTGCAAAGCACCTAGTGTGTGGTCAGTGTTTATTTTACTTAATTCAGACCTCATGAATTCACCTCTGGGAAATTCAATAGACCACCCCCCCCCCATCCTGCCCAGATTGATTATATGCTTATATGATTGCCCAAACGCACACGAGGCCACACCAGTACATTGGGATATTCTGGGATCGCTTTGCAAACTCCTTCAGTGCTGTTTGGTGATCTGCGGACCTACGGGTCTGGTGCTGCGGTCGGCCCGGTCCTCATGCCTTTTCACGTCCCAGGTGGGAAGTATCAAGTCTTTGCCGACTTGCGGGAAAGAAGTCTCTCCAAAGGCAGAAATGGTCAACAAATGTCGACAGTTTATAAAGCATCGGAAAAGTCCCGAGCTGTAATGCTCTTTTGATGGCCAAAGATGTTTGATGTTCGCTCACTACCTAACAGCTGATCTGCATCTGGAGCTGATTTGGACGAAACACAAAAAACTGATTGAAACACCACCACTCTACCACTACCTCAACCGATAGCCTATACCACCCAGCGTAGCCCTGCAGCGTAGCGTAGAGCAGCGCGGTCCACAGCTCCTCCTTCTCCAGCTGAGTGAGTTCCTCAACCAGCTGCTGCTGCTCCTTCCGCACGCGCTGCCCATCGGAGGGCGCCTGGGCGGTCGACGGTCGGGGCTGCGATCTGAAAGGAGTATAGTTCCGGACTGAAAGATAGAACCCCTACGTGTGGACGGTCCGTCCGTAGAAGGTGTACACTTAGAACCCCGTCTAGGTCACACGAGTTAGAACCACGTCAAATTCTATCTTTCAGTCCGCTATTTGTCCCAAACGTTGACTTTTCTACACACAATCATGCACACACTTAGAATGCCGCACTAAAATTGAAATGTTCACCATTCATGGCCCCGCGAGAGACGGCTTACCCCATTCAGGCCAACCTGGGCCAAAAATCTCTCGCGGCGAGCCCACATTCTAAGTGTAGATGGGCGACGCTCCATTTTGCTGATATTTACCTGACAACATCCTACAAAGGCAATTTTCCTCGCGGAGAACGTGGTTCTAAGTGTGAGGTGGAGCATTGTGTACGAGCCGACGTGGTTCTATCTTTCAGTCCGGGACTATAGCAATTTTCAGATTGGATTCTTCTTACACCGGTTTCCACTCCTATACCCTGTCTAAAAAGACATGCAAATAATCCCTTCCACCTATTCAAAAAAAACGAGGCCCCCCCCCAATAAGGAAACCTTGATCGCATTTTTCTAATAGGGGGTCCCTGAAATCGGGGGGTACAAAATAGGGTCACCTGGAAAGAGTTTCAAAACAAAAAAGTAATCCATGAAAATTTTATAGAAAATCCTTTATTAAACTCGTATCAAAAATGCAAAAAACCTCCAGATCGAAGGGTCTTCCTTTTCCCCTACAAAAACCTTCATTAGAATAGTGATTCTTCAGTAGACTAACAGCTAAAGCTTTCGAAAGGTGATGTCGCTGTGCCATGCGGTGTTGCATGACCTCGGTGGCAAGTGCGTTTGCGTGAGTCCGTGCCATTGGGGGAAGGAAAGCCTGCTGGTGTAAGCGCGGCGTGTCATGGTGGATAGACAGGGCGGACAAAGGTGGGCAGTTACTGTTGTTTTTGGAACCTAATAAGAAAAACCCCTCCAAAATCGGCAATGTTGGTAGTTTAGTAGCGGCTTGAAAGGGCGGTAATTTAAAAGCAAATATAAACCGTATTTAGGGGGATCCGACATGACTTTTTTTTTAATTAGGGTCCGTTATTAAATAGGTACTCGGGATTACACAAATGGAACTACTGTGTCACTCGTCGTGATTCTATCACAACTCAGTCTATTCTCACAACTGCAGCAGGCAGGCCATGGAGTACCTCTGTGAACGACACTGCTACAACAAGCCTGGACCTCTTTCCGGCGTTACAGGCTGTGGGCACTGTGTTACATGAGCAGATCTTACCGCGAAGTTGTGTTCGAAGCCATACGTTTTGAGAGGCGTTCTTGTGTTCGAATCTGCTAGAAAGAGCTTTATTGCAACGAAATAATCTGCTCCGTTGTCGTGTTGACCGACGACCAAAGCTGTGCCACGACATTCTGAAATTGATATATGGCAGTGGGTCATGGACAAGACCCTGGTGGAACACTGAAAATGAACCGATTCCTCTTTCAGGGATGTCAACCTCCCATCGTTTGGTGAGGAAGACTCACTGACTCACAGCCAAATGTTCACTGCCTGCTTGTACTTCTCGTTCGATCTGCCCTTTCCTGTTCGATCCGTGTGAGATGAGTCTCTATGTCTTCTATCTGTTGTTGCTATTGTCATGTGCTCTGGTGCCTTCCCGTGCAGCATTTTACCTGCTGCATCATCTGCTGTCAGAGGGCCTTGGAATTTGTGGGGCACGCCCAGCACCACATCATGTCTGATACTTCTCGTTTGAGGTCTGGACCCGCACGAACAATGGACTATACCCAGAACACAATGAACCGATTCTTGCCAGGCTTGGCCTCGGCGCCCGCATTGGCCGAACCTGGAGCACGACGACGGGACATCATGTCAGTCAAGTGTTTGCCCTTTTGGGCGAAGACCACAAACAGTGTTACTGTATTTGGTATCTCATGTGCGTAGAGATAGCTCGTGATTCTGATGTTTGACATATCTTGTAAACATGTTTGCAGGAGAGGCATGAATGAACAATCTAGAACATCTGGCAGTCCTGGTTTTGGGTTGGTTTTCTCCTGTAATTATACCTATTCAGGGTCTTTAGACAGGGATCCCATGTTGCATTTTTCAATGAGTGATAATGTGTGAACAAAACAATATGGATTCATGAATTCACAGGCCCTTTCAGAGGTTAGCCACCTACAATTGCTGTTGGTCAAAACGCCTGTCAACTATCAGCAGTCTTCCAGTCTGCTAGACAGCAATTAGTGCAGCAATCCGCTAGCGAACCTCTGGAAATTAAGCGAAGTAATACACCGACAGAGCGGAGAACAGGATAAACACGACTGTAAGACAGCTGCAGCCTTCAAACAAACAGCTGAAATGAATTGACATAAAATCAACACCTCGCACCACTGCACACACCGCTCGGCTACAGGAGGCGCCTCCTGCACTGGGTGCTGCATGTGCATGCCCCGCATGCCCCTGGCAGATTCGGCTCCGAAGAAGATCTGGAAGAGTCCGAGTCCGTGGTAGTCGACTTTGATGGGTTGATGAATTTTCTTCTGACCTCCTGAGTTTCCCTGGAAGCTACAGGTTAACCCCCTTTAACCTCCTGTTCTTTGTACAGTGGAGAAACCAATTCCACCGACTGGGTAGGTCTTTCCATGGGCTTCATCGACCCCGATAGAAAACATTCCATCGAATTCGACCCGGGCGGTCTTCCGGTCGACGGTACTCAGCACCGGTCGTCTGTGGCACAACAACACCGCCCCTTGCCTTGCCAGTGGCATGATACCGCCGGCCCTGTGAAAAAGGAAGGTGGGCAAGCCGGAGGGATGCAGGTCTGTGGGCGTTGAGGGGAGGGGGTCTGTGCTGAAGAGTTTCGTAAGGACAATTTGACGTCTTCATCAATGGTCTGCTCTAACCCCCTCATCAATGGTCTGCTCTAACCCCCAGCAGAAGGGTCAACAAGGGGCACTTGCCTTACCAAGGCAGGTTGAGTTTTCATGTGTCAAAGAGAGTCCAGCATCTTTGACTTGAGAGAAAGCAGTAGAGAGGAGTTCAAAAGTTCAAACATAAAGCAGCACGGTAACGGCTCCAAGTGCCTTGTGCAAATGTTCGGCTGTATGTATGTATGTATGTATGTCTATGTATGTCTATGTATGACTCTGTATGTCTATGTATATCTAAGTATATGTACGTATGTCTATGTACAGTATGAAATTATGTATGTATGTATTAATGTAATGTAATGTAATGTAATGTAAATGAAAATGAAAATGCTAATGCTAATGCAAATGCTAATGTAATGTAATGTAATGTAATGGTATGCATGCATGCATTGCTGGTGAATGGCTATACCCGTCAGGCTCCACTAAGAATTGAAAGGCTTCTCCTGGATCTTTAACACTTTGTCCAAGCGAAGCATCCAGGACCGTCCATTGATCGTCTTCACGGCTTGGAAGAAAGCGTTGGAGTTAGAGAGCGCCCCGCCGATCTGATGCACGCTGAGCCTTGAGCCTTATAGTGGCCGCCAGGGCTGCAGCTGAAGTTTCCCCTGAGGCTCCGATAAGCCTGTCGTCGCGTTCTCGCATGTATATTTACTATTTTTTTAATCAGCCCTTTTGCGAGGTTTAGCCTAGCCAGCTGCAAAAGAGCAGCACCAGGCTTGGATCTTTCCGCAGCTAGTAGAATGAGGCTTACCGCTTACCTCAGGGATTGCGCGTAATACGGCGTTGTGGCTCGAGTTCGGTACGGATTTGAGCATTGATTTGATTTGCTCTGACTGGATGTGCTCCTCGCAGCTTCTTGTAAATCTCTTTTGCACTTTTTGATACTTTTTGCGTTTCTCGCCAAGTCCGTCCATGGCCTTGCGAGGCCCGATAAGTGCTGCGATGAACGCGAAGCGGATCGCGCTTGCTGCAGTGCGCCGGACATTCGTCTTCTCCAGTTCATCTAGGATGTACTTGTGGACTTCTGTCGGACTGGCGCCTGCGTAGGCCCATTGTTCCGGGAGCTCGAAGTCAAGCCCCTCTCCAAATGCAAAGACCAGCTTCTCAAATGAGTCCATCCTGTCTTCCAGATGGTCTACGACCGCGAGAATGAACAGCCTACTGGCCACTTCTGCACCACCCAGAACAGCAAATGGAGGAGTCCCAGCTTTGGGGAGCCCAAACCAAAGAAGTTCAACAACACCTCATGGTAGGTGCGTCTCAACAAAAAAGGAGGAACCCACAAATCAAAACACCTGGTCTTTGAGAGGGCATGTGCGAAAATTCCGTCGTAACAAAACCCGTCGTTGTCGAAACCCATCGTTCTCGCCCCCGGAGAGACGCGAGAGACGCGCCTTCCGCCCCTTGCCCTCTGGCATAAGCGGCCCTGATGGGCGTGGAGACTTCTTGGATCTGGTGGGAGGGTTGCAGAGAGTTTTTAGAGAGGAACACCTGGACATGAAGGAAGGAATAGATTGGTTTAGTAGGGTAGGGATCTGTAGATTTGCCAAATTTTTGATGTCAAAACACTGTAAATCGCATGTGCCCTCTGCACACCGTGTGGATACTTTATGTTCCGTGCGGCATCAATTTCGGATCAGCGTGGAGACCTCTTACACAATCCTCCTCCAACAACAACGGATCCGTTACAATTTTTCGTTATTTTTTTTTTTCAACATGAAACACCTCGTGCAAGTGCACCGTAGCCACACCAAACACTCACTCACAACCCTTTATAACCCTCCCGTCCTCCTCTTGTGGGCCAGCCGCGCCCATCCGCCAGAGCAAGATCAGCTGAATGTCTGAAAGGGTTTTTTGGCACTGTCAGGTCCTGCTCTGTTGTCTATTTGTCCTTCTCAGAGTTGGATAGGCCAACAAATGTAGGTTCACCACTCCCCCAAGGTGCGTAAATCGTCTGACTCTGAGCGGTTCTGTATAACATGCTGTTCTCTGCCAACCGCTGAATCACCCTTTGCTACCTAGTTGGCAATGGGTGAGTGACGATCAACTGGCCAGGATCATGATGTTTCGCCTTCAGCGACCAGCATCCAGCATCTACTTGTTCTTTTTAGAAGGGACACAACCTCAAAGGGAAACAACAAACGGTAGATGTGGCTGACACAAGCCCCTGCAAACTTGGAGCACTCTCTTCTTCCTGTGGTCGGAGCCAAGTCAGCCAGGACCAGCTCGGATCCGCTCCACGCGCACACAAGCCTCATGGTTTTCATAGCCATCAACGCTCAGGACACGCAGGCACATCATCAAAAGGGATCCTGCTTCAGGAGAGGAAGCTTATGTGAAAAGCTACTTTACTTCAAGTGGTCCCCACCCTAAAAGGCAATTTGGAGGAAGGCAGTGCACATGTCTCGACAGGCTAGCCGCAGGCTAGCCTGACAGAGGCGGACATGTGGATTGACATTGTGTTCTGACGATTGTTGTGGCATCAAGCTTGGTTTGTGCTCTGACACATCTGCCCACTGTGATTTGGCGCTTGCCTGTTGAGGTCCTGCAGTGCCCACTGAGATCTGGAACTTGCTGTTGAGGTCCGGTATAGGCCCACTGTGATCCGGTGCTTGCCTGTTGAGGTCCTGCAGTTCTCACTGTGATCTGGTGGCTTGCTGTTGAGGTCAGGTAGTGCCCACTGCGATCTGGTGCTGGCTGTTGGGGCGAGGAGGAGAGAAGGAGATATATAAATTCTTATCAACCCTCACCTGACAGGTGGGGAAGAACACGTAGGAAGAGAACACCTTTAGAGGGACCCATCAACTGGGCCCTACTACACAGGGTTCTGACTCATGGCAGCAAAAACTCCTCAAAAGCACCGAGATTGTTCGACACTTCAAACGGGCGTTTCGCTCTGTGGTCTTTCCAGTCGAATAGCAATTCCTTTATTCCTCAAGTCACTGCCTCCCACCAAACACTCCGCAAAGCTCCGCAAACTTGGGTTAATCTGTCCATGTCGGAGTGGCCCACATGTGTTAATATATGTTAATATCAAACAAAGGCTTGCCCCAAAACTTCCAAAACACCATCCCTGTAGAGGCCCGTCGGCTCGTTGTTTCTGAAAGGCACGAACTCCAAAAATGCCTTTGGGCACTCCCACTCAACCCCCATAAGCCGAAAATTGCCATCCCAATCCCAAGGGTGTTTCCTTCTCAAATCCAGAGCAGCTGCATACTTCGTTCGGTCAAGCACGGGCGAAGATTCCGCGAGTGGCGTTCTTTCTCCGCTCTTCGCTTCGTGGGAACCATCGATGCACTAACTTGAACTATCCCAACCTTTGTATACTCCCAAACAATCCAGACTGCTTGGCAGATCCCGCCGGGTCAACCACCCCAGATCAACGGGTCACCGTGACCTGTCTGGGACACTTGACATAGACATAGACCAACAACTGCGCAAGGTCTACAAGGCGGGACCCGTACATGTGTTCACCCGACATCATCGATGGACACAGATCAAGCACCAGAAACCCACCAAACGGCAAGCATCAGCAAGAATCTGGGTGTATGTGTGCGTGTTTGAATAGGGAAACCCTCCAATGACCACTGAGAAGAGCAAACTAAAACCCATTGTTTGGGGGCCTCTCTTGTTCCAGTCCTGGATTCCAAGACCAAGACACCATCAGATCTGGCTTCTTCCAATCTACTTTTGATACCCCCGTACAAGCAAGGACATTTGTACAATCTCAAGAAATCTCGACGGATTCCAGCTGGACTCAAAAAAATCATGTTGGTGTGTGTTTGTGTGTGGATCTCAACTCTATCCAAAATACGATCTCAGGACGTACTTTGGAACCAAAACCAGGAACTTCTTCCAACCCCGGAACCAAACAAAATACTGCCCAACCAAGCGATGGCGATGAAGTCGCGCCGATGGCGATGTCCTCCCTTTCGACTCCACGCGCCGCGATCGAAACGCGATTGGTGCGGGCGATGGAGCATGGGATCCCAATACGTTGAATATATATTTGATGGTTCTAAGTTCTTATGCTTTAATATGTTCTAATAGTAGATTGAAGATTGTGAGTTCATCACAAGGACAAACGTGTTGCTGCGTTGTTGCTTCTTGAAAGGTTCCAAAGTGAAAAGTTGTTCCCCTTAGAATCCTGCAAGTTTTTCTTATTACACAATGCAGTTAAAATAGATTGAAAGCGGAGCGGGTGACAATGACCAATCGTTGAGTTGCTGGCTTTCTGATTCGACAGCGGCTGATGCACACAAACGCTTCAAGACCCTGTATATAAAAAGAAACAATCAATGCTTCCTCCTGAAGCTATAACACAATAACAATGTAATTAGTCTTGTCTCACATATACATGAATTAGGCAGCCGGCATATAGGAATGGTGTTTTCGGAAACAACTGCATGGCGATTCCATTCGCCGGTGAGGCGGTTCCATTCGCCCACATCCTCCGCATCACTGTTCGCTTCGCTCCACGGGAGCCTTCGGATCTTGCCACCAGGCGGTGAAAATGGGAACCGCTCGGGTGAAGCACGCGTTGTGAAGCCCCATCTAGCCAAGCTTGAAACACACGTCTGATCCCATAATTCCATTGGCCCAAGGTAGTTCCAGCCCCAAGTCGTGCATCCCAGGAATTGGAGGTAGTCTTCCCCAGAAGAAATTGTGGATTCCCAACTTGAACTGGTTTCCTAAGAAAAGGATCCAGGTAGCTTCTCAGGTCCAACCCTTTCACCAAAACTGACACCCGTCATCAACATTTCACCCACATGACCTGGATTGATGACCAGACGTAAGGCATATATATATAGTTATATATATATATGTACACCAAAAGATTTGTTCCAAACGTTGCAAAAGGAGTGCTTAATGACGCTTAATGGCTTATCTGAACACACTTAATTAAGGCCTAAAACATTCAAGCAAGCTCAAGTTTTGCTCCTTCCCCAAGCAAAAAGTGCTGCAAAGGAAACATTAGAGTGCAAGTGGGGTAAAGTCAATTTATATTGAATTGGGACAATGTATAAAAGGATATAGTTTGTGTTTTTAATGTCCTCTTGCAGCAAGGATGATCACACATCTCCCACTATTCCCTATGTGAATGTATCCGGTCCCATTCTTCCCACGATCCACCTGGCTGTCTTTGGGCAAATCCTTTTAATGAAAAACGATAGCTGGGCCAAGCTCTCAAAGCTCCGGAAATCGAAGAAGCTCTGCAAGCGCTGGGTACATTCGGATCCATCCCAAACCATGATCAATATGTTTGAGAACTGGTTGAACAACTTGAGATGTAGAACCATTTTGACAGAAGGGTTAATGAATCAACACTGTCATTGGATTTGTTTTGGGCTCTTTGCATGACTTGCTGCAGTTTCCCCCCAAATCTGGCAATCTGCCCACCCAGTTCCTAGACGTGCTTGGTAACATCGAATCCACCCATCAATATGGGGTGTTAATAACTTACCACCGACAAGAGATGAATCAAGAACTGAACAAGTGTTCTATCAACATTATCAACCTAGGGAACCAGCTGCTTTCAATCCAGCTACCAAGGGCTCAGTTGACACATATATAGCATTATATATATAAATATAATGATAAATATATATATACATATGTATATTATAGTTGGTATGTATATATATATATACAGTGCCATTATATACCTGTCTAGACTATAGAGCCTGCAGCTTGACTCGCCTTTCAAAGCAACGACCCAAATATCACCTCTGTCCATCGATCTCCGCACGGCCCGCCCGAAGCCCTCTCAGATCTCGGGGGCCTCAGCTCCGCAACGACACGGTCGAAGTGCTGGATTTCGCTGCCAGGAGGCGACTTTTGTTGTTCAAACGCAGTGCTTTGATGTTTTCTGAAGTACGAACTGAGATATTCATCGACTGATATGGACTGCATGGAGGTTTTCATCTCACTCCGAGCTTGTCATCGAACTCCGTGGGAACCCTCCGGCTTTAGTCTAGGAACTCTTGGAACCAGGGAATTTTGACTGCAAAGCTACCCCACACAAAAGGCCTATGAAGGCCTATGTAGACCGACTTGTCCAGGGCTCCTCCTCAACTAGTTGGTCTGTCGATGTCTGGAAGTCTGGAACAGGTATCTCAGCACATCTTGCTGGGCTTCTCTCGCAACCAGATCTCAGCACAACCAGGGCCTCCCCACGTTTCGCTACCAAACCTGGGAGCCTGCAAAGCCTGGACAACATATAGAGTATAGGGGCGGACCCATGACCTCCCTAAGCCCTAAGATGCTCTAAGTCTGCTCATGTTTATTTGTCTATTCCTAAAGCATCCACTTCAACTTCAAGTCATCCCTGGCTGGTGCTCTCGAACCCTCCACAGTCAACCTCCAAATACCTGCCCCCCTCCGTGCCCCAATTGGGCCCCCTCTGCCGAGACCTTGAATCGGCAGTCTCGGTCCTGGTTTTCCCTCCAAGGTCGTCGATCAGGTCGAGTGGCCCATCCCTCCCACGCACGGCCCAAGATGTTTGGATCTGTCGCTTGACGGATGAGGCACTCGGCCTGGAAATCAGGGAAGGCGACGTGAGCCGAGCTGGAGCTGTTCGAGCGGGAGCCGGAGCAGGGGTGTCGGGGGAGAATGTATTGATGTGTTACATGATATATGTTTAACTGGTTGGATTGGGACTCCCTTTTCTCTCTTTTGGGATCGAGTATGGGCCCTACTACCTTCAACTAGCCACTTGAAAGTCTGCAACAGAACCCTTGATGCACAGCAACCGTTGAGAACAAAGGTGATGACATTGTCATCAACAAATACACGCTCGAAATATCTTGTGAGCTTTGTTGTGGATCTTTCGCTCAGGGTTTGAACAGCATCGAAAGGGTGTATTTAAGTGTATAACGAGCATATCAAAACCTTCAGATCAACTCCCAATAGGCTGTCTGTTGTGCACAGGGTTGTAATTGTGATGTTGATTTTGGATGGCAACATGATCTTCCTCCCAAATTCTAGGCGCTATATATAATATTGTAATATACTGTATGCTGCATGCAGCCACATCCGCAGAACATGTCCGTGCCTGCTCTGCTGCTGTGAGCGCTTCTCCACGCTGGTAGATCTGTCCGGGGGTCGGAAGTCCCCAGTAGAGGACTCAAGAGGTCTCCGGACAGGTCGGGGTGAGTCGCTCCGGTTTTCGCGGCCGGAGTCGCTCATGGTTGGTGGCAATGGCGGATTCCAAGCAGACTTGGGCAAGCAGCAGGTTGTTTTTTTCACCAAAGAAGAATGGATAGGGACTGGTTTAGGGTCATCTATACAACCTGCTGGCTGCCGACTTCACGAACAATTTTGGTTTGGATGGTTTATATACACAATATCTCTGTCATTTCGGGTGGTGCAAACTAACAACTATACACTCCCTGAGACAATCATGGAAGCAAAATTGTCTTTTGTTTGGTATTCATGGAAGTGCGAAGTCTGAAAACCTGGACCAATATGGCAGTCAGGGAAGCATCTCAACAATACCATAGAAGTCACCCGGAGAGTCCAAAGTGCTTAGATTTTAAGTTTGTTGTGTTTTTTTGTTCAAAGGTTTGTTCAATTCCATGCCCACCCAACCTTCAAAGCTAACATGGCAGCTACGTAATGGGCGATCAGTTTCCATGATAACTGATAACGTTTCTTCGAGCTCAAAATCTTCTCGACTTGATCAACTTCTATGTCAGGTCCTGTTTTCTGTGGAACCATCATAGAATACATTATCCTTGGCTGCTAAGATTGTTGAAAGGAGAACAAGGCAAAAAAAATCAAGACTTGCTTAAAGGTATGTTAGCTCCTGACATGCTGCGACCTCCCTGTCCCCCGGCCATCACTATCCGAAAAGAACCAATCCCACACATTGAACACGAGTGCCCCATGAAAACAATCGCAGGAATCCGCAAATGTCTCCAACTTTTCAGCTTGAAGATGTTTAGAGTGTCAATGTGCGCGACTTTTCACAGTAGCTTTTCAGGGTGAATCCTCACATGTTTGTGTCTCGGCATGTCTTGGCCAAACTGCGCCTCACGAAGCATCCACAAATCTGATCAACTCTGGGATCGATATCCACAGGTGACTCCACAGGTCTCAACAGAAAGGTAATTATAGTCGATCACCCAAGCCTGGCCTTAGCTCTCTCAGGTTCCTGGCGATTGGAGATCGAGCGAAGCCGCGGTTTGTGGCATGGCCTGTCCTGAAGATGGGGAGGTTAAAGCGAACGAGAGGTCCAGTGGAGGAGTAGAGTATTTTCATGAAGGAGGTGGAGGAGTAGAATATTAGAATAGGTTTTTGTTTGCTCTTCAACCCCCAAAATTCAGGTGCCGAAACCAACTATGTGGCCCATGTGGCCGGTGTTGCCTCTGCATGTAATTTCCACAGCATGGCGTCGCAGGTACAAGTAGTATCATCAAGCAACGACACGGCGCCAGTGGTGTCCATACGTGACAAGTATTGTGGACCGGCGGCTCTGAAAAAAGTGCCACTTAACATCAAATAACAACATGATACAACATGTGGTAGGTCTGGACATCTTGGTGACAAAGGTTGGGCAATTCATATCGAAGGGGATATCTTTTCTGTTTGTTTGTTGGGGTCACTGGTGGAAGGTATTTCGATGATCCACTTAGAGGTTCTTCACGTGAGGTTTTATGCGTTCTTCTGGGCGTTCTTCAGAGTTTGCGTGTTTCTACGGAGGATCATACACAGTGGACATGAATCAACAGTGGACTCCTATACATCAATGTCAATATAGATCTTTCAGTCTTATTGTACTCTTTCTCGTCGAAAAAAAAAAAAAAACATGCAACAACACTGCTTTATATATGCTAGCTGATCAGTTAACAACTCCAAAGCCTAGATTGATCCGGGGGCAACAAACTAACCACCCATTTCTGTCTTGGTTGCGTTTCTTTTCATGCGTCGTTTTCTTCACCACAGAGTGTTTTATGGTGCCTCCAAGCCGGCGACCATGAGTTCCAAGGGTTGGGTGGAACGCCTGGCGAACTGCTGTGAGGTCGAACAACCGGCCCTGGCCCTGGCTGGGTAGACTGGTAGACTCCCGTGCTTCCGGGTCCAACTGGGAGGTCTTCCTATGTACAAATTGATTCACATCAGCTTGGGGTGAGTTGGGCGCAACAAAACTGACTCAATAATGTGCCGCCCGCCGGAACGGCGCCTTTTGGTCGCAAAAAAAAAAGAGATTGAGGTCTTCGGACCGTGACTATATATCGTAACATATCGCCATGACTGCTCGGACCTCAAAAAGCCCTAGTATGCTGCTCACCTCGTCTCCTTTCATTGGGAATTTCATCATGCCGCTGAACTGCCTGTAAATAATTTCTAATCTTTAAATGCCTTGTGCCTGTCGGATTCGATTTCCCAAGCTACAGTACAGTAGGTTGCCTTGCCCTGCAACCTTACAGTTCAAATGCTTCGGAGCTTGTCGTGAAGTGCAAGTGGAGACATGCCGGCCTCACGTGCTCATCGATTGTGCAGGACAAACGCCCAGAACTGAACGTGGGGATGCTGTGAAACCCAGCAAAACTGACCATGTGTCTAGTGTCGGGCCAATCGTATCAGCATCTTGTCATCTTGGCCTGAATCTCTGTTTTTTGATTCCTGGGGCTCTCCGGTCGGTTTTGTTTTCGAGAAGTGACTTGCCACCCGTATCGGGACACGATCGGTAGATGTACCAGTAGCTTGCTCCGCCTGCTCCGCCGCTCCGCCTCTACCAGTCAACGCATCGGTATCTCACACTTGATCGCAAACACACAGTGGGCACGGCAAAACGCGTTGGTCTCAAATACTTACACCAACTGTCCTCTCATGTCCTCTCGATTGAAGCAAAGCTCACACGGGAAAACACATGCACTCTAGTTGTGATATCTTCCGTCAGCTTCTTAGGGCTGGCTTCCTTCGGTCACAGTTGGCCAGAAAAAGGGATGTTCCCACACCCTTCACCTGGGAAGAGCGGCGATGGGAAGCGGCGGTGCACGTGTTTCTCGATTCCCGGCGCCCACCTGGCCATCTCCTTGACCCAGGGAGTCCTGAGTGAGTCGCGGGTTCAAAGGATGGATGGATGGATGGATGGAGGGATGGATGGATGGCTGGCTGGATGGATGGATGGATGCATGGGTCAATGGGTGGCCCTGATTTCACAGGTCCGAGCTCGTCCGTGAGAGGGTCCTCCACGTCCCACTGAAACGGATTGGAACGCCGGGATGGCCGGTATGGTCGGACCGTGGCTACGATGCATCCCGCTACTGCGTCGGACCCGGGTTCGGCAGGCCAGTTGAGGGGATGAACTATAGGACGTGAGCCGTTCATACACCAACTCGGTGTTAAACCGAAGTCATTGGCCAGTCACCGTTCTCTTTTGTGCAGCGCGTTTGGGGTGTTGGCCCAAGTCTTGGGTGGCCAAATGTTCTAGCAAAACACAGCAAAAACATAGAAATAGACATGTTCTAGCATAATACAAATTCTATATTTAGCAAGTCCAAGTTCTTTGACATGTCCGCTCATGTCAATAACAATCCATAATCCCGTGACCTTGGCACGTTTGTTTCTTTCCATTCATCCCCCTCAAGGACAAAGCACCTTGCAGGAACCCAATAAACCGTGAACAGTTTGAACAAACCCATTCAAAACATGTGTCTGTCTGCATCTTCGCCAAATGGCTAAGTCTGCAAGCATCTTCGCCCCTGCAACCTGCAGTCCCTGGAGTTGATTCACCCATGACACACGAAAGCAAACAAATATAGAACATCTTGTGTCTTCTTTTTGACCCGAACGTTCTGGGTTCACAACGGTCGGAATTGGTGTGGAACCGGTGACCCACGGTGCCTCACCGGCCCACCGGTGATCCCGACTCCATGGGACAACGGAGATCTTCGATCAAGAGTCGTGACCCAGGTGACCGCCAAAGCTGGGGATGGTGCCAGACTTTTGGGGAGGATGGCCCTCATATATATATATATATAGAGACTACTTCAAGTCTACAATTTCAGTCAATGAACACATTTGATACCCTATGCCAGCCATATGGGATCTGGTCCAAATATCTTCTTCCAAAAATGGCTGAAAGTCGTGTTCACATGGGCGCCCGCTGCATATTCTTTACTTTTGGCACACACAGCTGGTCAATGAAGGAAACATTGACCAACCAAGTATTGGCGCCAAGTTGTAAGAGGCGTCACTAGCGCTGCACCGTTTTCAGCTGGTCTCCGAGCTTCAAGCCATGCTTGAAACAAAAGACACGTTGCAAGTCAGCCTCGGAAGGGTCCACGCTGGAATCTGGCAATGTATGCTAGCGCGGATCTAGCGCAGTGCTAGCGCGCGGCTAGCGCATTTTTCAGCCAGCCACTTTTCAAAAACCTGACGACGTTCTGAACATGTCCTAAGGAAAACACTAGCGTCACTAGCGCAAGTCTACCGCAAACCTAGCGCCCAGCTGCAGAATAGGTGTGTTTAGCTGGGGACTCGCTACATAATCTAATTGAAACAACAACATCATAAGCCACTTTCGACCCCTTAATCTATGTTGATCTATTTTGTTTGATTATAGACTTTTGGCCGGACTCCATATACATGTATATGCCATATTATGGATTCTCTGTATCCATGTCACTGAATTCCACACACCAATGGTCCGTCCACATCCTTCCCCCGTCCGAGGACTTTCTCCAGGTCTCTGATTGTCCGTCAACTCTTCTTTGAGAATGGACGCAGGATGCTGGCCCTGAAGGACGCTAGAGATGCGAAAGGCGGCCACAATTCGAAAGCGACGCATGCGAAAGCTGCCTTCTGGAACGAATCTGGGAACATCTAATCAATTGGGCAATGTCGACAACTGTGGATCAACTCCTGATCAACTTCCACCCTAACCTCGCCTGCAAGCGCAACGACAGGAAGTGCAAGCGCCTCGGTGAAACAACCACCCCGCCGGTTTGGTGAGTGTCCCGCGGTGCTCAGCGTGATCCCATTCATCCAACACAGGAACTCATAAGCCCACACAATGGATTGGATTCCAAAGTCTCAATTCTTCTTCAATCTGACCGATATCCTAATGTGAGATCACGGAACAAGAGAGGCGAGTTGTAAAAGGTCACGGAACTTCAAGAAGTTCACTTTGATCATGAAGAAGCTATAGGCTATAGGCTACAGTCATTAAACACTTTAAACTAGTACTATATACTACCCATACTACCCAACGACCTTCTGAGAACTCTGCGACCGGGATCGGGACTGCTATACGACCCCCTGAGACGTGAGGTAATGATAGTATGTTGTTCCAATCGTCTGAGAGGAGTCCAAGGAGTTGCACTCCCTGAAATCAGGAGGTGGAACAGTTCGGCCAAAAAGCACAAAAACTCCTTCACTTGCCGGGGGGTCTGTTCAGCCACCGTGAGGACGTCTGAGTCCAATGAGTTACGCCTGTTTGTCAAGCCCGTAGCATCAGTGTCAGTGCTCATTTTCAGAATCCACGTCTCTCCGGAACTCCAAGGGCCTGCCTTCGACCAACGAGAAGCTTGTCGCAGCGCACAGAGCGTACGCAGTGTTCTGTAGGGGAAATGGGTGCGCTTGCAGTATACCCAAGGGTTTTAGGCACAATCTGGGCCCAAATCACATAAGGATTCTTCACCCAAATCACCTTCAGATCTAGGGCTCAAAAATGCTCAAAGCATGGAACTCTTTCAGGTGCTTCGGCCCTACCAACCACCACTTCTCCGCAGACCCAAAAAGACAACCACCCAACCACCCACCCAACGGCCCCACCCGGCCCTCACGGCCCCGACCGCCCACGCGCCCCGCCACCCGGCCTCTTTGGCAGGAAGTCCAGATCTGCGAAGCCACGGCGCCGTGACCTCGAAGGACCGGACCCCAACGACGTCGATCGACGGACAGTGTCTGTGCTGCGCTCAGCGGCTCAGTGGTCCAATCCAACAAGGGCTCTCGGATGAAGATCGCACACCTTGGAGCCAAGGGCGAAGGGCGAAAGGATTCGAGTCGCAGTTTTGGAGCTCTGAGGATGAAAGGTCTCTGAGGGTGTGCACACCGGATGGACGTGGCACCTCGTGGCAGGTGCGACTTGGGACAGTTTATGGTAGCGACTGCAGGTTCCAACCTCCTGAGAGGGTATGTGGAAGATGAGAAAGACTAATTACGAGCATTGTGGTTCAGGAACCATGCATCAGTTGGATGCACAAAAAAAATGTTGAGCAGTGCCCAATCAATCACTGTAATAATTGACCTTGAGACTACACATATCCCCTGTGGAATTACCGGTGCACCTCGGGACGTGATGTTATATCGTGATAAAACGAAAAGCCAGGCTCCGGAGTTTATTTGGATCCGGGGATCTACAAATCGTCTTTCACATGCTTTCACCGCCTGGGGCCAAATGAAAACCACCCTACGTATATATCGTATGCGTTTTCCTTGTCTTTTCTAGCAGTCTTTTTGATCGACGTCCTGGCCTGCTTGTAACCAAAGATCGTGTGACTTGGGATACCTCAAAAACAAGATAATATATGTATGAGCTTGTGAGTAAACATCCAAAATTACCCAAGAACTGTCGCTGTGTGAACTTTACCCAATTCACAGCCTCCTTCTGCGTCGAGTTACGGCCTCGCGCGTGCCGAAAGCGCCGATACCTGGCGCCCCGGACGCATCCAGGAGCATGGCACTTTTGGCGCGGCAAGTGCTTAAAACCTGGACAGTGCGGCAAGTGCCCAGGGCGACCAATTGAGTGCCACAAAAAATATTGGTCTTGGTGCTAGCATGTGCTAGACTGCTTTTGTTTTCATGTGCTGCCTGCATCCAAGGTGTGATAAAGGCTTTCCAAAGGATGCTTGGCAGCAAGTTGAGTGGCAAAGTTTCTGCAACTATGCAGCATCACTTGGGGAGGACGGGGCAGTCCGAGCAAGCAGGTCAGGGGCTACAAGTTATGAGGCTTTCCAGATTGTTTGATGGGATGTGGTCGGATCTATCTAGGTCGGACCTTTCTATGCGTATGTCTAGGATTCCAACAACATCCCACGGTTCTGAGGATGGGCGCTTGAAAACCGGTCCTTCTCCATTTCCAAGGTCGTGTTCGGTAGATATTGGGTTCCTGTCTGGAACTCCAAGAGACCTCTAAGTAGCCCCAAAGCTCAAACCTCATGTCTCCGTGCAGACGAGATCTCGGCGGCCTGTTCCAAACTATCTCGAAAGGTGCCATGCCTGGCCATCCGGACATCGCTGCCCACGGGACGAGTGGCAAGGTCGATGTGGTAGGTCCTTATCGAGTTCCAGTATGAGGGCCCAAAGGACATGGTGCAAGGAAGGGTGAGGGTATGTATGCATATATATATATATATGTGTGTGCTTGTATTCTACCATATAAACTAAATGGTCGAACATCGTCCAGATTTCTGACCATCCCACACGTTGCACAACGAATTCTCAGGGAGTCCGGTTTTCTCAACATGGTTGAATCCTGAAATGAGACGATGGCAAGGTGCGGCTTCGTGGAATCAGTTGAAGCTTATAAGTGCGGCAAGTAGTTTTCATAGCATGATTTGCATGATGTGGCTGCAACAAAACGGTGCAAGGACCACTGTAGAGTGGTGGAATAATTAGCGATATAGGCAACTAGAACTGGCTCCTGGTATTTTTCCGGTGATGGTTTCAGCATACTCCAGCTGTTTCTCTACCACCCACGACTAAACCACAGACTACTCTAGTCAGTGCCAAGCTAAGCCACACCAAGGTGGTCAGGGATACAAACGGACTATACCTACTCACATTGAATATTAGTAACGAGAAGCTACTAGGGGCTCCTGGCATCGCTACTAGGAGCAAGGACGCTACTAGGTGCTCCTGACCATACTACTAGGAGCAAAGGACGCTACTAGTAGCCCCTCCTGAGCGTCCAAACCCATAAGGCCCTGCCAAAGGCTGCAGGGCGCTAAGAAGGAAGCTCGTCAGACCTCAGACGCAGGAGTGGAAGTTCAGTGGATGGTTCTCAACTGAAACAGTTCGCCTCACATATGGCCTCGAGTCCATGGTCATCTCACTGACTTGTTGATAATCATGGGTCCTACTCACCATTTTCTGAGCAGAAACCAGGAAAGCTCACTGGTGGCCGACATGTCTCGGAACAGGATGTCACTGACTGGTGTATCGACTATATATATTTAAAGCAAACAGTTTAAGCGAAGTGAATCGCAAGTTCCACTCGCATCCACAATATTCAACGATCTATGCAACCGATAATCAAGCGGACGTAAAGTGGTATTCTATACCTATAATTTGTGAAACCTACAAGCTTTGCAAATGCAACAAGAATCCTACCTACCTCTTGCGGTGTCCCGTCTGGAGAGTAGCCATTGTAGTTTGGGACATGCAGAGTTGATCCACAAGTAACACGCCCTGGTACACAACGGCAGCCTGGTACAAATAAAGAACAAACCACTCCGCTACTTAGAACAGTTCCATTCATCTCCAGTACCTCCTACAGCTGCTTGAGCTGAGGATGAACAGCGTACGGCCTCGAGCGGCCACAGTCTCTCTGTGTGCCTTTGCCAAGGCACGGAAGGGCATGAGCTCCGGCACCGGCAACAGTGCGCCGATGCCAAAGGAGTAGCCGAAGTCAATGGGCACCAACTGAACGAGGGACGGTGTGGATGGTGTGTAGGAAGATCTCCCATCGCCCTGGCTGGAGTCCACTAGTGTATTTTTTTTCCAGGGGGTCGAACTGGGAGGCATCCCTTTTGAACAACTCGCAACTGAAGGAGGGACGGAGAGGGAGGGAGAGGGAGATCTTTTTGATGGGTTATGACGGGTTTGTTGGTGACTGACCTCCATGCACCAAAGAAAGGAAGACTCGCTCTGATCCGTCATGCTGATAATTTATGTTGGGATATATTGTTGTCACACAAACAATATAAAATATACAATGGCGAACTTGCTGGAGGTGCCCGAGAATGGCCTCTTGCTGAGTTGCTGGGTTTCCTTTCGGAATTCTTGGGGATGGGGGCTGGGTTTCCCAAGAAGACGCAACAATGGTTGCACCACCACAAACCCCCTTATGTTGAAGTGTAAATGATGTGATCTCCTCAGACTATACATGATACATGATACATGATATATCAATATAAATATACCAGTAATTATTCTAAGTGGTGCAACGTGCAACCGCTTTCTTTGACATTCTTTGTCACCGTCACCGTCACCCCATCCATCCACTGCCACCCATCCACCCGTCGCCTCGGCCGTCCTCAAACAAAGGAGGTAGTTGTCCAAGTGCCTCGAGCGGAGGAGACGAGACGAGTCCATCGATGGAGGAGACGAGACATGGGCACGGTGCCGGAGGTCACCTGAATTCAGTACAGTGTCAGGTGCATTTGAAATTCTGACATATCCTTCTTGTTGCGGCAGGTGGACAGTAGTCCCAACATTGTACTGCATAGTTACAATCAAACATAAACGCACATAATTATATTTATTTCAGCTATTCAGCTGATCAAGCCATGAAACTCCAAGTGTGGCCTTGGTGATAACTTAGCAGCCCTCGCTTAACCCCCACCCAAATGTCCTGTGGGGAGTAGAGGCCATCAAGAGCTGTGGTTTGAGAGTCTCTCCAGAGCATTTCTGTATTAAACAAGCGCTTGGACCCGGAATGGTCGAGCAAACAGCAACGGCCGAACGGCTGAACTCCAAACCGCCGCCCACATCGGCCCGCCACAGCCGCTCGCTTGGTGCGCACGAGGCACCGGTCTCCAATGCCAAGGAGATAGCAGGCGGCCGAGGCAGCAGCCAAAGAGGCAGCAAAGCGCTGACGTGTGTGCCAGAAAGCCTGAAAACCCCTCGGGTTGGTGGTGAGACGTCCCAAGTAGGAGCAGTTGGTCCCAAGTAGGAGCAGTCTTTTAGATGCGACACATACACCAGTCAGTGGGCACAGCGCTAGCCATGCTACCAAAGGAACAACACATCCATCACTACATAATACTGCATTTTTGAGAAGCCTTCTTGGTGCTTTCAGTAGTCAATGTACAACTACTCCCTTCATCTCCCTTCATTTATTCATTTAATTTCTTACTATATTCCAAGAGACCTTAGAACAAACTCTCCTGAATAATGTGGATGATATTACTGTGCATACAAAGCATGTACTGACATACATGATCATACATGATATCCTGTAATGACCCATATACGTCCAAGATCGACCCTGGATCCTACGGATCCTCAAAACCGATCAACTCGAGCGCCTCCGGACCCACGGCGCTGCTCCAAAAGAAGGCCTGGAGCGCCACGGAGGAGCGCTCGCCGGCCAGCGCAGGGTGTGGTACGGAGCGCCGGGTGGTTTCCAGTCGCGGCTGGCCACAAGGGCACTCGAATCGCACCGGAAGTGTATGCGGACCCAAACACTCCATGTATGCCATATGTGCCAACATTGACCCCCAACACCACCCCAATGTAGGCATAATATATGGCAGTCCCATGGAGTGTCTGGGGGATGGATTGCTGCTTTGGATGAACATGGACTCAGTGCAACTCACGTCTTCGCCCACGAAACAACGTGGTCCGGTCGACCGGGGACCCGGGGGCTCCGCTGTCGGACCGTCCGTCAGGGAACCAACCCCTCGGGGATTTCGCCAGCGGAATCGCCATGGGACCAGCCGGCGGTTGCCCCTGTGGATCCCGCGGAAAAAAACAACTGCATCATGTTAATGTTAAGTGTAACATCTTGTAACATATTTTGGGTGTGTTTTTAGCTATCTCTGAATTGTAGTGGTGACTGAATTAATCCATGAAACGCATACTATCTGAAATCTGATGTTGTTTCGGGTGTCTTGCCAACATCTCCACCAGTTTCTGTCTTCCGGGGCACCAAGGCCATGCCTTCAAGGACGCGGAACTTGGCATGGCCGCCACGCAGCGCTGGAACCTACGCGAGTGACACGGGTGTGCCTACGTCACGGCCTTCGCACGCCGTGTGGACGCGGGCGCTGGCTGAAGTGAGACTTGGGGATGTGCACACAGGGAGCGGAGCCCAGCTCAGTGTCATCTAGCCACGCATGCTTATACCCAAGTGCTCATGTTTCCATGCTCGGGCCTGGTAGGTGTCTCGAACATTTATGAAGATTCTGCCCAACAATGTCCAGTTCTACCTGTTCAGATCCCTACCAGAAACAAAATCACCCCATCTGGACTCACAAACCCGGGCACGGTTGAAAACTCTGCGCGACACACGCACATACTCTCTCTCTCTCTCTTCCTCAGTTTCCATGTATGAAAAATACATAGGAACCAGGTAGCTTGCGTTACGCAGCTCGTGTTGGAGTTGAAACTGAATCTAACTAAAATGTGTTAATTCTGCCCTCAAGATCGTTTGGCTAATATACGTTCTGTAGTTCTGCAGGGTGATTTCTGGTCAAACCTCTTCTTCCTGAGGGATGTCGCAGCGAACCCCGACGCCGAAGTCTCTTCACCACCGTTGAGTCGGTGGTTGGCCCACCCAGATCCACACCCACCAGGCGCCCCGGGCGCCACCACCGCATCGGCTTTGGGCAACTGAGCGCGGAGAGCCCGCGGTGGCCCGGTCCATGTGGTGGAAGGTGGGGTGTCGCCATTTACTGAGTGGGGTCCCAAAAGCCCTGCGACATGGAACTCCGGTGAGCTGGATCAATCTGGCCTGTCAGGAAACATCTGTACATCTGGTTTCAAGATAGGTCGCTTAAATCCAAAAGGTTGTTGGATGGGGGAGTTCGTTTCTGCTATATTTAAGGTCAATTACCTGGGAATGTTAAGGAATGTTGCAGTTAGGTGAAACTTCAGTTTCAGAGTCAATTGGCAAGTGCATTTGTACTTAAACGGACTTCGACTTGTAACTTACTTAAAACTTAGACTGATAAAGTTGGTTCTAAATCTGCTAGCCTTTACAAGGTTTTGATTATAGATTGGATTCAACTTTATATAGTTTTGACTTGGTTCAACCTATTGGATCTAGGAACTAATATATAAGTACTTAGGTCTGCTTTGTTGTACAAGTCAACTAACCAACATTGATCAACCAATATGGCAATTAAAATCATTGGTTTGTTTGTCTAAATTTAAGTTGCTAAAATGCAATACAAAAGGCTGTCATTGGCAACACTGGCAAGTGATAATGATGTTCCTTCTGTACAAGAATGCACTGTCATAAAACATATGACAGCCTTTGACGTTAAATATCATTAATCATTGACTATCTGTCATGCAGTTTTCTGACCGATAATGACGCTATACTTATTTAAACAAATGGTTTGATGTCGGAAAACATGTCAACTAATAAAATACCGAATGCTAGATTCCCTTAAGATCCGAGAAGCTCAAATCAAGAAGTGCTTCTTGGAGAAGCTTCAAAACAGAGCTGCCAGTGCTGTTTCAAAGCTTCTGAGAAAATCTCTGAGAAGCTCTGTTTTGAAGCTTCCCAGAAGTGCTTCTTGGAACTCTGGAAGTGCTTTTGGGAAGCTCTGAAATGAAGCTTCTGAAGATTCCTAGTTTTACATATGACAACCTTTTTTCTGGTGTGGTTGAAGTGAAACAGTCTTGCTGGTCTATTGCCAGCCAAACAGTGAAGCCTGTACATGCCTTCTTCAGGCTTTACTCATCTCTGGGAAGTTGCCTTCTCCAGGCTCTACTGCTGGAGTGTTGGGAAAGCTTGGTTCACCATCCAAGACATAAGAACTCTCTGTGCAGAGATCTGGCAATTGTTTTTGCCACCGCTGGCTGTGAAATATTGTTGCAGGGTGTACCCATAGGTTTCGTCCTTGTAGCACCAGGTGTCTTTGGGGTTCATACTTGTGAATTTGATGTCATCAAGTATATGGTCGAAAAGGTGCCACTTTGGTCTGGAGTGGTAGTGGAGGTGCTCATCTTTACTCACTGCAGCCTTCTCCAGACTCATCCATTGCTCCTTGAGCAACCTTCCACACCTCTCCAACCTTGGCAAGTCAGCCTTCTCCAGGCTTCTGTACATGTTGCTGCAAAATTTTGCAAGTTTTGCCACAGCCCTGTCATGTGCAGTGCCTTCTGCAGGCAACAAGGAATTGGCAAGCTCATGCAGGTAAGGGCAAAAGCCCCTGATATGAGCTGCCTTGCCTTCAAGCTCTGGGCTCTTTTTTGCTTTCTGATAATCTTTCACACTGAGCTTTTGCAAGCGCATGGAGTGAGCAGTGCCTTCCTTTTCATAAATGCTCTTGATCATTTTGTACAATTCTTTTGTCCTCAAGTCTTTGTTCCTGCCTGGGCAATACTTTTGGAATTCATGGATGCACTGTCCTGCAATGGATGAGGCTATGCCTTCATCCACTACATGCATCCAATCAGGCTTCATAGACTTGTTTGAAAGGTTTGCCAATTGGAAAAAGGGGCTGGCAGCCTTGCCCCTCTCTTCCAAATTGGCAAGCCAATCAGCCTTCTGCAGGCTCTGGGCCTGCCTTTCCTCCAGGCTTTGGGCTTTCCAAGTAGAGGGTGTAGCTTTGCAAAGCCAGCACATACCCATGTTGGTATTGTGATTGGGGGCACCATGCACTTTCACATGCCAGTCCCAGTCACCTCTCAACTGGACGACAACTGCCTTCTCCAGGCTTTGGCCAGCCTTTGCTTGCCTGTCTTTGTCAAGCTTCTTGCCATCATGCCTTCTGCAGGCTCTCTGGCCACATGCCAGCTGCTTCAAGGACCATGTAATCACTTTCATAATTTCTTGGTATGTTTCTTGGCCCAAAGAAAACTGCTGGTCCAAGCAGCAGATCAAAAATCTTGTGTGCCCATTCTTTCTGGAACCTACAAAGTTGATTGTCCAATAGTCCAGGGTGGATTGGTTTTTCCTTCCCTTGACAGGGACCCCATCACCATGCAGGCCCAATGGGTACATTGAGTTGCCTTCTTCAGGCTCACCCAATGCCTTCATGGCTTCCCTCCATTCCCTTGCAAGCCATGTGCCTTCTTCAGGCAGCCCTTCTTGAAATGCACCTGGTTGGCCCAAGTACAAATGAAGCCAATCATGTGGGAGCAGGAAGGGCAATGCCACTTTGACTTTTTTATCGTTCTTTTTGTCCCACAAGGGGATCTTAGCCCAATACAAGGGTGCCCAATGGTTTTGCTTCTTGAGCCACCTCCTCCAGCTCCTGGATGCATTGCCATTGCAGCCTTCCTCAGGCTCTTTGCAGCCTTCCTCAGGCACTGCTTCGAGCTTCCTTTTCTTCAAGGGCTCTTTGCTGGACCCTGGCTGGTTCTGCCAGGGTCCTTTGACCTCCAGGCCAGTAGCCCTGGCCTGTGAGATGAGCTTCTTGCCTTCTTCTACAGAAAGCTTGTTTTTGCTGATCAAACTCAACAAGGTCTGTGCCAAATCCTTTTCAGGATTGGCTTTCTCCATCCTTGAAATGAAATGGCTGCAGGAGCATGGAAGGGCTTGAAGCAACCCAAACAATCACCAAACCTAGCCAGCCAACACCCCCCCACCCCACCCAAACTCATTTTTTCAGATTAAAAACCTTGGCTCCTGATGGGTTTTACCATCCTGTACAAGCCTTCTGCAGGCTCATGGTGCAAGTATGTACAGGCCTTCTTCAGGCTTTGCATTTGATGCCTCAGACTGTATGCCCTTCATTCCTGGCCCAAAGCTTGAGAGGAGCCCACTGCTTGTTCAAAGCCTTCAAATCTGCTTCAGCAGCTTCTTTGTGGACTTCCAACTCTGCCAAGGCCTTGCCTTCTTCAGGCTTGTATTTCACAGGAAATCCTCCCATGGTTTGCAACCACTTCTCCTTCTTGGCACCAAATGTAGCCAGACCTTTGTCTAAAGCATCTTTGTGCCCCTGCACAGTGGATTCTCCAGCAATTGGCAGGGAGCTAATGGTTTGCTTGAGCACTTTACCTTTGTCAAGGGCAGTGCCCAAGCTGTTGATTGCCTTCTTCAGGCTGCTGAAACATTTCTTGTAGGCTTCTGCCAGGACCTCCTCCTCACTAAGCTCAACAGCTTCTTCCTGATCCTTGCCTTCTTCAGGCATGGGTCTCCCACTGCCACTAGAAGGGCCACCACTTGGCTTGCCTCCCAGCATCAGCTTGCCATCTCCTGGCTGAAAGGCCAACATGGCCTCCACCTGCTCAAAGTTCTCCTGGTCCAGGTCCACTTTCTGCTTTGCTGCTGTTTGGCTCTCATTGGAGCGTTTTTCTTCTTGCATGGCAACATGCTCATAGTAGTAGAGCTTTTCACAACAGCATCTGCCCACTTTTTGTTTGGGTGGGCCATGCTTGGCAAGTGCTCCACAGCTGCATCGCAAAGGGCTTCAAAATTGGGGGCATGGGGGGTGGCACCCTCAAGGGTGCCAACAGTGTATTTGGTCACCCAGCCTTTTTTGTACCTTTTCAGTGGTCTTAGCCTTCTCCAGGCTCATTTTGTGTACTTGTTTGTGTGACACATCTGGGTCCAAAAGGAATTGTTCATAGTACCTTTTTCTTTTGGCAGCATGCCCAGTAGCCTTCTTCAGGCTTTGGCTCAAATGGGTCTTACCTGATTTGCTCAGCTTGGCAAGCTGGTTGTGAACATCTTTCCACACATCTTTGCCAATGGCAACCTTGCCTTCTTCAGGCTCCTTGGCCTTGCCCTTTGCCTTCGCTGTGGCCTTGGCTTTGGCCAAAACCTTAGGGGAAAGCTTCAGCTTCAGCTTAGCAGTTGGTGAAGCTTTGGCTTTGGGTGTGCCTTCTGCAGGCTTCTTTGGTGTGCCACCTGCCCCTGTCTTGACAGGTGTGCCTTCTCCAGGCTCTTCTTTCACTGCACCCATGGCTGCAGCTGGCCTCTTTTGGGGCGCCATGCTGGGTGTGTGTCCTAGGCCCTAAGGTGGTTTGTGAAAGGTGCCTGTGGAGCTGTAGATTGAAATGCTGATGGTGTTGGGGAAAATTGTGTGCTTGAGCACCTTGAACCTCAAAGGCCACCAATCATTTTCACCTCTGGTTTAAGAACCTTTCAGGCCTTTTTTTTAGAACTTTTCAGGTCTTTTTTTAGAACTTTCATGCCTTTTTTTTGAACTTTTCAGGCCTTTTTTTAGAACTTTCAGGCCTTTTTTTTTTAGAACTTTTTATTGTGTTCCTTATAAATTTAATAAGAAGCAAATAAAAAGTTCTAAAAAAAGGCCTTAAAAGTTCTAAAAAAAGGCCTGAAAAGTTCTAAAAAAAGGCCTGAAAGTTCTAAAAAAAGAACTGAAATTTTCTAAAAAAATCTGGTGGTTGCCTTCCCCAGGCTTTGGCTTGATACCACTGAACCCCAAAACCTTCACCAAAGGGTGGCCACCAAGTACCAGACACCAGAAAGGGTAACCAGGAAGGGTTGCACCAAAACCCAAAAGGGTACCCCAACCAGACCCACCAAAACCATCCACCCCAACCCCTCCTTCACCACACCCTCTTTTCCTTTCAAAAACCTGTGCTCTTGATGGACTTTGCCATCCTGTACAAGCCTTCTGCAGGTTCTTTGTGGTGCTCTGCATCAGCCTTCTCCAGGCTCAAAAATCTACTGAACCATCTGTGTTTGTTGG